CATAATAAGCATAAAGGAGTTTTGCTATTTCTATGTAATTGCAATGAAAGAAAAGTTGACTAAATTTATAAGAACGTCCATTCCATCTACCTCAATTTGTACACCACAAGGTGATCCTTCAAAAGTCCTCACGCCCCTTTTCCTCTTATGAAGTCAAACTCTACAAGTGGCAAGCATAAGGTATAAGCATAAGTTCTCTCTCTCAACCTTAAGAAAAACCCCTAGGTTAAGCATGTAACTCTTCAACACATCAAGCATTGATTTTTCTATAAAACCCCCTCACATAAACCATGCTAATTCCATTACCTTCACTAGAATTATGATTCCATCCTAACTCTAGCTTTTGAAAAAATCCTAACCATTAGGACAAGCAAAAATATCTCCTAAAAAGAATCCATCTTCACAAAAAGACTTCCTAACAACAAATAAAAACTTTTCTACAAAGGTATTTTGATAGAAAATCAAAATTGGATAAAACCCTAAATTTCAAAAATCTACATTTTTATAAAAACAATACACATTAGAGTTTAAAAACATCACACTACCTTTCCCTAAACTTATCTCAAAGAAAACTCTCATTTCTTCAAAACCCTAATTTACAAAATTCAATTTATTCTTATAAAACTTAAATCAAATTCCATAGTTATCTTTCAAAAATCATTAGGAAACCCATTTTTTGGAGAAAAACCCTAAAATTTCTCTTTCCAAAAATCTTGAGAAAGAGGGGGAAAAAATATATTCCAAAGCATACCTTTGGCTTCCCTTAACCTCCTCTACGTTTTCCTCAATTTTTCACGCCCGAAAATCCTCGCCGGAGCCGCCCGAAGAAGCCCGTCGACGCTCTTACCCGCGCCTCACGCCCTTCGTTCCGCTCGGTTTGGCCTAGCGTGCGTGAAATGAGAGAGAGGAGGGGTTCGGTTCTTCTCATAATAGGAAGATGGGTGATTTCCTAATGACCCTTATGCCCTTGCTTAAACAAATTCGGCTTAAGGGACAAGTAAGGGTACTTTGGGCATTTCTATTCTTCCGAAAATTATAATTTCCAAAATACTTAAAATACGATATAGGTTCTATACATCAAAACGGTTAGAATTTTGCGTTATATGTTCTTTCTTAATTATACTTTGGGAGTTTTGATAAACTAATATTTTGTGGTTTTGTACTCTGGGACATGATTTTATTGCATCTATTTTCTTACTTTCCCCTAATTTTAATTGTCATTTAGATGTTTTTATTGTATGATAGAATTTTACTATTTTTTACTTGCTAAAACTCTTAAATTCTCATTTACGCAATTCTTCGTAGGCGAGGCTTACGCCTCACACCGCCTCAAGGCGCCTCACGGACGAAAAACGCCTCGAGTAGGGGTGTTAATTTCGGGTCACGGGTCGGGTTCGGGTCGAACCCGAAACTGACCCGGCACTATTCGGGTCAACCCGAACCTTTCGTTTTTAAAAAATGGTTAGTTTTCCTGATCCGAACCCGACCCGCTTCGGGTCCGGGTCAACCGACCCGACCCAAATGACCCGTTTCTAACAAAAAAATGGCTAATTTTCGGGTCAAAAACGGGTCAAACTCCTCTTTTCGGGCCAATCTCGGGTTGCCGGGTCAAAATCGGGTCACTTTCGGGTCAATTTCGGGTCAAAGGATTAACCCGAACCCGACCCGATTTTTGAAACGGGTCGAAATGCTGAACCCGAACCCGACCCGTTTCGGGTTCGGGTCGGTTGTTCGAGTCGTGTCAAATATTGACACCCCTAGCCTCGAGGCTTATTTACGCAATTTTAAACCTTGCTAGGATCAATGTATTTCATCTGACATTGAGTCACCATTGACTGCACAAGTGTTTTTTGAGTTCCCTCGCGTGTGATTCAAGTTTTGTTCTTTTCTTGTGTTTGAGTTCCAGTTCAGTTTCATTCAAACTTGAATTCATCAAGCTTATAAGTCCCACTCAACGTTGTATAATTCGAGTTCAAGTATTTTGTTTAGTGTTCAAGTTCAAGATCTTCTAAAGTTCTTGCAAGTTCAATTAAATACTCAATTTGATTTGAATTTGGATCCAGACTGATTTTATTTTATTTGAGTTTTGACCTTTAGAAATCATTTAGGTTTTGTTTAGGTGTTCTATCAAGTTCAAAAGTCCACAAGTCATTGTTCATTGGTGTCCATCTTTTGTTCTTTTTTGAGTTCAAACAGGTCCGAGTCTGAGTTCAAGTTCAGCTTGTTCAAATTTTGTCCAAGTCTCTTATTTCAGTGAAAATTTCGGCAGCCTCCCGACGTCTCCCCCGTTTAGGGGAAAAACCAAGAGACTGGGCCATCCCCCCACGCTATTCGAGCGTGTATGGTAGGTGTCAGGGGACACCGGGCCGTACATTTTTCATCCCACCACACTACTCGAGCGTGTATGAAGTCTTTGAAAGGTATCCATACGAGAGCACAAGTGAATCTCTCCACCACGCTACAAGAGCGTGTATATGGCTTACCCACTTCTTCATATGCGTCGCACTGGGCTCCCTCCTACCGTGCTACGAGAGCACGTATAGGTGATTCCTCGGTCCGCAGCAAACACCGAAAATGGGATTTAAAGTGATTACCTGCCTCGTCGTAGGCACCGCACCGGATTTCCTCCCACTGTGCTACGAGAGCGCGTTTAAGGGGTCGCCAGTCCGCCGCAAACATTGAAAACGGGAACTGAGTTTAGATTATACCTTGGGGGAGTCGTCGGCGACTCTCGGCGGTGTCAGCTCGAGGATCAAGGCAAGAGGATCACACATATTTTATTTAATTATAATTAACATCAATTAAATATAATTAATTAACTAATCATTTTTAATTAATCATTCTTAATTAATTATAATCAATTAAAGTTATTAAAATTGATTATGATTAATTTAGAATTAATTCTAACTTAATTAACATTAATTAATTCTAATAAAATATAATTATAATAATTAATTTATAAATTTTGATTAATTAAAAATAATAATTGTAGTTAATTACATTTAATTAATATAGTTTTAATTAATTATATTATATCATTTATTTATATAATTAAAAAAAATAACTTAATCCCTCTGCTCCGTGGATTTGAGGGATTTGGCCGTGGGAGCATGCGCAAGGGAGAAAGTTACTTACACAGCCAGTGAGCTTCCGTTTTTGTTTCTGATCCGGCGGGAGGGGAAAGTCGTCGAGCAAGCGGGGTCGAACACCAGGAGCGGGCCGAAGAAGCGCACGAAGGGATAAAGTTATCTTCACCGTCGGCGGGTTCCCTTGTTACTTCCGATCAAAAATGTCTTAACCTCCGATCCGACTAGAAAGGGAGGTCGTCTGAGGCGCGAAGTCGGGCGACCAGGAGGGTGCCGAAGAGCACGCGCGAAAGGGAGGAAGTCGCCTTCACGATGAGCTCCTGTGGCCACTTCCTATCAAACTGTTGTAACCTTCGATCCGACAGGTAGGGAACGGGTCGGAGGAGGGGCCAAGCCGAACAGCCACGAAGGGTTGAAGAAACGATCGGAGGGGAGAAAGTTCCAAAGCCAGCGAGCTCCTGCGGTTGCTTCCGATCAAAATGCGTAACTTCCAATCCTACTGGAAGGGAAAGTCGACGGAGGAGCGAAGTTGTTGAGCTACGAAGGAGGAGGCGAGAGCGTGAGAGAGAGGGAGTGAGCTCGGAGGGGAAAGAGCGGGAGCGTCAGTGGAGGCCGAAGGCCTCACTCCCTTTGTCTTTTATCGACGCCAGGTGGGATGAAACGACGCGAGGTCGTGCGAGCAACGTGCGACGCCTGCATGAGGTATGGGATTTTTTTTTATCTCTTTTTTTTGTGTGTTTTGATATAGCAGGTCAACAGTAGCCCTCATTTAGCTTAGACTGACTAAAAATATATTTTCTCCACTCCTTAATTCTTCTCTAGATGAGCTCTAGTTTTAAAAACGTTCTTTGGGCACCATCTTCTTGGACATGAAAGCTTTTCCACCAATTATAGAGCACATATTTAAATCCATCCTTTCTAAGTCAATGATTCTTAATGTGAAAATTATGATATTTGTAAAGATGAGACATACTCTAACGGAATGTAACTGGAGAATTACTGGATAAGATTTTAATGAGTCTGTTGATCATAATTAAGAAATTCATCATCAATATCATGAGATGATGAACCAATTAAGCATAGCAAGAATCTAATTCTCTCACTTGGGTAGCTTCTAAGTCATTAATTCTTACAATCATATATAAATAGGGTTTTTTTTTTAAAGTGTGATAGTTAATCTATGGCATTCTGAAGTTCTATTTTTTTATATGAATACTTTTTTATGTTTTGTGATGATGATCCTTAATCATATGTGAGATCTAAATCTCATCCTTTCAAACATTATTCCTTTTATCTATTTGAGGAACAATGTCCAATGATCACGTGAGGCAAGACGCTCTATGGTCTAAGGTTTTAACAGAGATCTAAATGTAATGATATGATAAATTATATTGATTGTGTTCTTTTTATGATCTCTATTTAATGTCTATGCATAGACCAAAATCTTTTCGTTGAAATTTGGGTGTCACCTAAACATTATTTTCTAGTGGAAGATCATTGCAGAGTTGGATGACTTGCTTTCTAGCCAAAATTGCGTATTGAAATTTCATCTGACTCGATTTATCATATCATTACCTTTAGATCACCGTTGCAAACCTTAGGCCACAGAACATGTTATCTTGCATTATCATTGGACATTGTTCTCCCATTATGTAAAGGCCTTTGATTAACTAATACTAGAAAACAATTTTTGATTTATTTGTGATATAAATTTTTGTTTGTCTAGAAATATACACTCGATAGCATGAAATATTCTTTAGTTTATTAATAATTAATAAATTATGTTTTTTTTTATTAGATGTTTGTTTCAGTTTTCTCAGCTTATTTACTCTATCAGATGTATTATGAGAGTTTTACGAATGCTAGATATTGCAAGCTTGATCTTGTATTTATTCCTTATTTGTCCTCTTTTAGTACAATGATAACAACGGGAATCCCTATTCAGATGTTTATTGGCTCATCAGTTTGGTTCGCTCTATTGGTGAACTTGAGTTTAGTCAGCTGGTACGTTTTTAACTTTCCTCACCACCAGTATAATATTTTATTTTTTAAATATATCATTTTACTCCGTTTTTAAGGCCTAGAAAGCTTAATTTTCTTTTACTAAGTTACTAATTTTGCATTTGGTTAGTGCGCTTTGAAATTTAAATTGATTATGAGCTCCACAAACACGTCAAAACACTCTCAATTGTAGTAATTTAAATTTCACACAAAAAATAAATCCTGATTTTCTAAATCATGTTTTCTATGTCCAAGATATGCTCTTATTGAAATGCAGCGGTAAAATAAAGCTTTTAATTTTTTTGTTATCCGTTATTCTGAATTTTTTATTTCCGTTTTTAATTGTCTTTTTTTGTGGAATCCTAGAGTATCCCGATAGATGCTTTAGTGAATCAACTCATTTTGTTGCCACCCTCTTTTAAAGATTTAACAAAAACCCTTTGTTTTCCTCTATATTGTTGAAAGGGCATACGTTTGCTACATTCTGGCTGAAGTAGAGAAAATTATACATCAGCGTATGAATGATTTCAAGGTGTAGTTTTGAGATCTGAGGTTCCCTCTTTTGGTTTTGAGTATCAAGTCCAAGGTCTAATTTGTTTCAAAATGTGAGAATGGTTTACCATTGAAGGTTGATCAATAAGAAGAATTGTTTTTTTTTTTTTAATCAAAATAAGAATTAGGGGAACCCTTTCTCATTAAAATTGAGGGAAAAAAGCATGGTGCAATTAAATTACAAAAACTGTTGTGGAACAAAATAGAATAAAATTAAAACTTTCAAATTAAACGCTAGCCTTAAATCATTCAGTAGGTTTCTCTGCAAGTTAAAAAATCTAAAAATTGTTCTGTAACGGTGGCAGCTTTTTGCATGTTTGAGTTGAAAATGTGAAAGTAGGCAAGGGAGCTGATATGCCAAACCAAAGCATCTCGTCGTTTGTGGTGTTGGAGAAATGATACGGATACCTCTTAACTATTTACAAAACCAACTCTTTTATCTCTAATATTTGAATTCCTACTAATTTCAGAAAATATTCAAAATGTTTATAATCTCAGACTCTAAATTACGTGATAAATATCTTTCTAATGCAAAATTATTCGCATTTTTTTTAACAAAAATAGAAATTTAATCAGAAAAACTTTGTATTTTTGAAAATTAAGATAGGCATAATGTGACCTATTTCGATCCGGATAACTTTCCTAATTGGCATGACGACTGAAAACAGTTAGAGGCGGCTCAAAAATCCTCTTTTTTTCTTTTCAAAGCTCTCTCTCTCTTTTTCTCTCTCCTACGGTTGTAGGCTGCTTTATCAAATGAATTAAATAGTGCTTTTAAAATATATTTAAAATGTTCTGGCCTAGGGTTGCGGTGCTCAATCCGAGCTCTACAGTGTGAGTTCAAAATCTTAGAAACCCGAGACTGGAGTGCTGCAACATAACTATTTGGCGTCTGGTATTGTAGCAGCACTGAGGCGCTCGTACGACCAACATTGAGGCGCTCTAATAGTGACATTTTCAGATTTTTCTACACTTAGGACTCATTCTAGACCCTACACAATCACTTTCATGTACCAAAACACACCCAAGACATGCAAATGATTTAAAAACTCAAAAAGTCAAAATTTATCTTTTTTTAAATCCAATCAAATAAGATAGATCACATGTTGAACTGGAGGTGTCACCTATTGCTGGTCTCATCACAATCTTATAAAAATTTTCCTCAAGTTTGAGGGATATATTTTTATTACCCAACAAGCCCGATGCTTTCATCTACTTCAGTAATCCAACTTTAGTTCTACTAATGATATCCCCATCTATTTCACCATTTCTTTGAGCAATAGACCTAAGATATTTAAAGTTGCACTCTTTTTTATGATTTGATCACCCAATGTTACAATCCCACCACTTTATCTATTACTACTAAAATTAGATTATGTATTCGGCATTAGATGGTCGTAATTGAAAATCTTTGTACTCTAAGGTTGACCTCCACAATTCAAGTTTTTCATCAACTCTCTCCTTAGTCTTATTAAAAGAAGAATGCCATCAGAGAAAAACATACACTAAGTTGCACCCTCTTACAAATGTCTAGTAAGAAAATCCATGACTAAAGCAAAAGATATGGGCTTAAAGATGATCTTTTATGTAATCCAACTGAAATACTTGGTTAAACCACCTTGTGTTTGAACATAAGTTACAGCTCCTATATATATATACTCTCCAGAGCACTTCTATTGAAACTTTATCATATGATTTCTCTAATTCAATAAATATCATATTTAGATCCTCCTTACTCTTTCTATACTTCTCCATCAAACCTCTCAACAAATGTATAGCTTCCATAGTAGACCTACCTGGTATGAATTCAAATTGAGAAACATTGGTATCACATCAAAACATATACTCAATTACTCTTTTCCATAATTTTAATGTATGACACATTAACTTAATTATTCTATAATTCACTCTTGTGAATCAACTGTAGTGGCAAATATATATAATTGATCACATACTTTGCAAGTCATTAATAACCGCAATTAGGTTAATATGAAAGTCACCGGCAAATTTTATGCGTAGTTAGTAGAATCACATTTCAATATTGTTTTAAAATGTGAAAACGTCTTTATGCATTATATCTATCAACTTGATTCCATGATTTCTAAATTGATATCTTATGTTTTGTTGAATGTTAAATATAATTTTTGTGTAGACAATTCTGTAAAAAAATCATAAGAGCAATAGTTTTCTGAATATTTATAAACAATAAACTTTTATTTTAATGCTACACCTTCAGAAAAAAAAAAAGAAATTGGCATGAGGTTATTACTTACCTATATAGAGGAAATCATCTCCCTAAAAAAATTTGGCATGAGGTTATTACATACCTATGTAGAGGAAGATTCTCAATTGCAAATTGCTCAAGTGACAGGAAAAGGCAAAAACTCCCGATTTACAAAATATTCATCTGTAAAATTCTTATGAAATGATTACTTGGACAAGGGAAATAATAGAACACTTCATGAAAATCAAGTTCACACTTAGGTTTCGTTTGGGATGGCTTTCTTTCTGCTTCTTAAAATAATCTTTTAATACAAAAATTTTAATTTTTGTACTAGAAAGCTGCTTTAAGAAGCAGTAAGAAAACCGCCCTTAATGAAGCCTTAGCCTCTCATTTGCCCTCCCAATACCTTTGAAAAAAACCATTCATTCCATTAAGGTTTTTTGCCCATATTCTTGACTTCTTGTGTTGAATTGATTGTGGAATATGCATGGAGGTTAACAAGTAGATCTTGATTTGGAAATAAGTATCTTGAAGAAAAAAAATAGAGGAAGAGATTGAGAAATCAATGCCCTTTTAGGTATTTTTCAGAATAAAAATTTTTAAGAGTAAAATTGGCCCTACGGTCTCTTTACGAAAATTTGTTCTAGATCTCTTAAAAGAAGTTGACTTTGCAGGAAGCAAATTGGTTAGCACTCCAAATGATTCCAACATTAAATTGCGTGGTGTTAGCATTAGTTCGCCCCTCGATAAAGAAAGATGCTAATGGTTGGTGGGAAAACTCATCTATTTGGGTCTACTAGATATGACATGGACTTTGTTATAAGTTTGGTAAGCTAATGCACGACCCTGGCATAGAACTCCTGAATGTTGTTATTAGGATTCTCAAATTCCTAAAATGAAGCCCTGGAAGGGGATTTTTTTTAAAATGGAAAATTCATGCTTATGAAGGCCTATATTGATGTTGAATCGGCTAAGTTTATGAATAGATAGAAGACCCACTTTTGGATTTTGCACATACTTGTGTGGTGCTATTATAACTTCGAAGCAAGAATAAAATGTGTTGGCAAGTAGTAAAAAAATATAACTCAAGTCATTGGCTAGTGGGATCTGTGAATTAATTTGGTTTTAACTACTAGAAGTGATGTGAAACTACTAGGAGTTACGATCAAAATTAAAAAGAGAGTTGTTAAAGTTTGCTTTTATAATTTTATGGGATCATGCAAGATAGAGTTAAGATTTAGAAACGCTAACTTTGCTTAGGCAAAAGAGTTGCAAACAAGATTAACCAAAACGAATCTTTCAAAGTTCTAGGCGAATTTCATATGCACAGTACAATAACAAAACCCAACGTTTAACAACGAGAATTTCACCTTGGGGCCGTGTCACTCAAAGATTGGTGGACTTTTGGCGGAGATAGAAGATCCAAGCAATGACGGAAGTTACCACTAGAGAAAGGGCGCCAAGGAACTTCGTCGGAGGAAAAGTAGCCGGCGGGGATGGATGTCGTAGGTGACCGTCAAGGCTCCACGTGTGCTTTGAAAATTGTCGGTCGTAGATGCTTGCAAGGATCGGGACGACTCTCTCCAAGTACTCTTCCACGGTTGTCTCGTCTTCAAATCCTACGTCGAAACAAGGTGAACGTAGAATGTTGATGCTCCTGTCGGCGTTGAACACAAGTCCCCACTCAAGCTCCGGATCCGCCATTCAACATTGAAGTGGATGTTGAAGAATATCGTCGTATTCTCTTGATCCCAAAAGTGATGAACATCCAACGCTACCCCAAGGAGGATGGGGGAGAGGCTCGGCCAAGGTGGGAGAAGGGGAGGGGCGGCGGGTTATGGGGAGAGGAGTTGGGTTAGATGAGGGGAGAGGGTGAGATCTAATCAAATCTGAAATTATTTCAAATTTTGATTAATTTGGGAGGGAGGTTACTTAGAATTTGAATTTCAAACCTCATATGATCAATGCCATAAAGTGGAAATTAATGGACATTAATCCCAATCAAGGCCGGCGGCCAATAGGGGAAGAAGAAGGGATTAATTCCAATCCTGAAATTAAATTCAGGATTAAGTAAATTTGGAGGGGAAATTTATTTGAAATCAATTTGAATTTCAAATAAGAGGTAGCATTAAATGGGGCAATCAATGGGGGAGCCAATGCTAGGGCCGGCGGCAAGATGAGGAGGAGAGGGAATTTAGTGGAGAGCTTCTCCTCCTTCTCAAGCACTCATGCAAGACGAAGTAGAAATAAAACACAAATGTCATTCAAATGTTCATTAAAAATTAAAATGATACAAGAGACCACTATATATAGGTCTTGACTCATAAAAAGTGAAAAGACTAAATTGTCCTCTGGGCTACAAAGAAACATAACTCCCCACGGGGGTAAAATGGGAAAACAGTAAATCAAACAAGACAATAATAAAATACATCATGTCATCTAAATCAAAAGTAGAGGCGCTGAATCGTGGCCGTCGATCTGCGGTTTCGCCGGCGATAAACATGTCGGTAGCGTCTGTCGATGTCCTCATCAAGAAGAGTTTTAAGTGACAGTTACCCTAGAATCTTATGGAATAGTTTACATTTTTTTCTCTCTGTTTTCTTCTTTATCTTTCTTTCTTATCATATATATAGCCTAAATAAAAGATAAGAGATATTGGTAGAAAATCTGCAAGAAAAACACTCGCAGAGCAGCTTTTTCATCACTGATAGTCTATACGTGACTTTATGTCATTGCACGTCACAGCAACAATAAAATTATCAAACAAAGCCTAACCCTACTGATTCCTCAAAAATTTTACTGCACTCGTAGCTTATGTATTCTCTCATGTTTATACATTTTTTTTTTTATGGTGCTGGGTTAGAAATTTTCCTTAAGATCTGGGACTTTCAACATTTCTTCATTTTTTTTATGTATTATGAACTTTATATATATATATATATATATATAATTAATCAATGATTTTGGTGAAGCAACTTATTAAGCATTTGTATTTTCTTAATTATTTTTCCTGTAATGACCTGTTCCTTGGGATTGAATATATTGTTTCTGTGTACCCAAAATTCAGAGTATGTCCTTCCTGCCTTCTCTACTCAAATGCATTGATCGACTTCTACAATTTGACAGGTGTGTTAATACTGCTTTCCACATATGCAGATATCCATAAATTTTTGTGAATCTGCATCTCTAGCTCTTTGATGTTCCAATTCATGATATTTTTGAGCTTTTTTCCAGTCTCATGCCTAGTTATGATGGAATCCTTACAATCAACTGCCTCCACACCTTAGTGCGAGTTGCATTGAAGATGTCAACCACAATTCCTATTGTGAGCAGCTGTTTTTTCTATTTGGTATTTTAGATTGTTATCTTCAAATTTGAAACCTTCCCAACTCCTCTGCTTGGCATGGCCTCTTCATCATGCAGGATCATGTTTTTGAGCTGATAAAACCTTTTAGAAATGTTAAGAGATCATCTTGGAAGATTAGAATTGAAGCAAATAAAGCACTTCTAGATCTGGAGTACTATTGTAAAGGTCTTGATGCTGCTATCTGTTTGTTTACCAAGTTCATGTTGGAAGAACCATCTTTACCAGGTTTGTGAAACATTAAATATATTCAACTTCGTTGTCAATAATCTGCTAAAATCCATCTATAATTAGATGCCAAATCTGCTTTAATCGCAGGACAAACAAAGTTGGCCGTCCATTTGATGCAGTTGTGTCAAATAAACTCTGAATCTGAAAATGGTAATGCTGTATCTTGTGCCACTTTAGTTGCGCTTTTACGATTGCTTGCAAGCAGAAAGGCCTTCAACAATGTCTTCCTTCGACACCACTTGTTCTGCATTATACAAATTGTTGCTGGGAGGTTGGGTTCTATTCTTTCATGCTTGCTTATCTTCTTCATGTTTTTTTCTTATTACATTAGATGTTCTTGCATGTTTATTTCTATTTTTATTGTTTCTAGAATAAATAGTATTTTTAAACTGAAGACATGAAATAAGTTGAATTTTGTTTTCTAGTTCATAAAACATAGGGTCTTTTTATGGAAAAAAAAAAAAAACTAAGCTCAAACATTGATTTAAGGTGATATAACTTTCTTTTAAACCATTTGCAATAACAAATTTAACAAAGCAGATATTTTATTCTTTTATTTTTATTGATTATTTATGAAAATAGAAAATTTTATAACAATGTCTGCTATCAACACAACTTTGGAATGTTGAGGTAGATTGTTTTCTACTTATCGCTAGCAGATTCATCAGATGAGTGGGAAATGTTGCCTTTTTTATAAAAGTTTAATCAGGGGGTAGGGCACATATAGTGTTTAAGTTCTTTGTAACAAATTTTGGAAGCTTCATGTATTAGGTGTGTCATGGATGAATGTTTTATCATTGGTTTTGAGAATACTATGCTAAAGTACTGGAAGATTGGTCGATGAGGTAAAAATTTGAAACTAAGATTATTTCGTTTGTGTTATTTGTGTGGGTTCTCTTTTTTGTATTTTTAGGTTTGAGCTCATTGAGTTGAGTGATGCAGAGATGAGGATGCTCATATGATTGAGTGGCTTTACTCTTAGAGACAGAATGTGAAACGAGCATATACGTGAAAAGGTTGGAGTAGCTCCAGTGGAAAATAAGATTAGAGAGAGTCTCCTTAGATGATTTGGTCACATAAAATGTTAGTCTTCTGTTAACCCAGTTAGGAGAGTAGATGTATTAGATTTGGCTTATGTTAACGTAGAGGTAGACCTTAAAAGACTTGGTTATAAAAGATTAGAAATAACATTTTTTTATTAGATTTAAATGAGAATTTGACTTTTAATATGACACAATGGAGAATAAGGATTCATGCTGACCCCATGTAGTGGGATTAAGCTTAATGTTGTTGTCATAGGTTTGAGCTCATTCAGATGTATTTTATTCAATCTAAACTTAAAAAAATGGAAGTGGTTTTTGAGAACATATTTTGAGCGTAACATCACTAATATAAACTTCATCTATCCATCTCTCTCTCTCTCTCTCTCTCTCTCTCTCTCTCTCTCTCTCTCTCTCTCTCTCTCTCTCTCTCCCTGACTCCTTTATATATATATATGCTATTGACTTAATGAAGAAATTGGATTAGCTAGGATTTACATTTAATGTGCTATGGTGGGGGTTAGCGTAAGTGTGCAAAATCCAAAATAGAAACATTCTATGATGTTTCTGCATTCTCAATGTTGTTTTATACTAGAGGTTGCACTCTTGAATGTTGAAGCATTCTCTGAACTTGATTATGTTGGCTCCTTTAAAAGCATGATATCTACCTTAGAAAATGGTAGTTTAATTAACATAAATTATTCACTCAAAAAAGCATGAAATCTATTGTTATCAGTTCCATTGCAGACTTGGAATACAAAGTTATGATACACTTGATATATAAAATGATATTGTAAAAACTCCTTTAAAAGAATTTGATTTTTTTATGTTTTTCATTACTCAGTCTATGACACTATATTATGTCCATTGTGCGAATCATATTGATTTTCATGTACAAACATGTTGTAGTTAACTGTCATTTCATACCTGAGGTTATGCTTTGCAAGAAGATTTTTACCTTTATTTCTTTTTTGGAACATGTGACATCCTTACTAGGGTTCTGGATGATCTATCGTCTTATTTTTTCATAAAACAAGTTAGAGCTAGAAGACATTTATGCTCCAATTTAAGGGAGAGAATTGTTATATATATATATATATAACAAATGAGATTAATAATCCTAATTATGAGGATGTAATAGCATATCATCCTAATAAGATATTCTTAAAAAATGACTTATATTGATATTACTTTCCTTTTGTATCTTTTAGGTATGTCTAAGTAGACACCTAACACTAAAATCATTTCTCCGTAACAACATATGCTCCAAAGAGTTTACTGCGGTTAACCTAATTACATTAGATCAACCAATCAACCTAATATCTTTGGATTCATTTTTGGGTCCATTTGGTGTAGTTTTTCACTCATTTGTTTTTTAGAATGCTGCATAGTTTTATTTGGCTTTAATTTCCTAGTTGTTTTTTCAGAAATTCTTTTAATCAGAAGTTGTAATAACATAGAGTGTTGTAGTTGTAAAAAGCTCATATCCGACTTCTTAAATGGTAAAAGATATGTATAATATAACCACAAATGCCTTAAAAAGGGAACCATTTTTCCATAGCAATTCCAAAACTACTTCTATAAATAGTTGCTACCGCCCTAAATTGATCCTTAGTCTTCACAATAATCTTATTAGTAACGATCTAAAGAAACCTGTAAGACCACTAATTCAATTTTATGTAGTCTTTTAAGGAACGTAGTGCACCACATTGTAGCCCTGTGATGCATAGCTTTCAACTTGAATAAGGAAATAAACTGATTAAACAAAAAGAAAAAACTGAAGGACCAACTGTACCATGTTTCGAAATTTATGTTTGCATGTATCCTTACAAGTGGATGCCTTTCTTAAGAAACAAAGCAGAGTTGTGTTTAAATAATTCATTGAAATTCTCTCTTTCTCTCTCTTTGAGAAGGTTGAATGCCAAAACACAAATCACACTCATGTAAACACCAGTCCTCAATCCAGAAACAAGAGGAAGCGCTCAAGTATTCTAATCTCTTGTGCTAGGATTGGATGGCTATTGAAAATATATCTTGTTAGTCTCTTGTAGATTTTGTCATGACTTCAAGCTGTTTGCTGAGTTCTTTGCAATGCTGTTTTATTTGTGATGTCTATTTATTCAGGGAGTTACAGGAAAGATATTTTACTCTATTTTATAGCAATTTTTTCTTTGTGCTATGCTTATTTATTATTTTAAGTGTATGACAGTTCCGTTATTTTTTCCTTCCATCAGGGCACCAACACTTTATGGCTTTACAAAGGTCAAAATAAATCAGGTAGCAGCTATGGAGTCAAATGGTGAGCAACCAGCTAGGTCTGCATCGTTTAAGTTGAAGATCACAAGGACTCAGGAAATGCTTACTGATACTCCAAACAATTCGGTTGATGCACCATCCGTTCCAGGAGCAACCAAGGACGGTGATACAGTTTCTAATCGCAGTGAGGGGAGGATGAATATTTTAAAGATTAGAGTCAAACAGCCTGCATCATCTAGTAAAGCAGATGGTATTGATCAATTACCAGGGAAATCTCGAGGAGCGCTAAATGAAACTGAGTTGGGGCACAGCAGTTCTGTGTCTGTAGATGCACCCCCCATGAAGGGAGCTTTCGATGTACCATGTACCAGTAATCAAAATATTGAGGAAGTAAGCTCTTCTTGTGACCAAGAATCCCGGGTGACTGCCAGCATTGTTTCCAGAAAATTAGCAAACAAAGATGAAGCTGGCAAGGACTTGCAGTGTACTGCTAATACAAGTAATACTCGTGGAGAAGGCTTGTCTCCATCATCGAGTAGAAAAGATGAGGGTATGTTCATTCAGAGAATCAGTGGTGATCAAAATGTGGCCATATCAAAGCCTGAAGACGTACCTGCATTCACAGATTATCTCGAAGGAAAGAGAAAAAGAAAGAAAGAAAAGAAGGACAAGGGCAGTAGGAAAAAACATGGGGATAAAGATGGTGGGGATAAACACCGATTTGAAGATCCTGAGTATTTGGAGCAGAAACGTCTGAAGAAGGAGAGAAAACATATGGTTAAAATGGTTGCTCGAATGCAAGAGGATGAATCAAGAACTTCTGCTAGTGAGTCGCTAGATAACAGAAAGCTATGCAAGTCAAGGGACTTGAACAATTTGGAAGAAAGTGATGTACATGCTCCAAATCCTACGAAAAGCGCAAGTGATTCCTTGCAGATTAGCAAGGGAACCAAAATTAAGATCAGGATTAGAAATCAAGGTGTAGGAAGCTAGGGAGAGTTTTGAAAATGGTGTATTCAAGGTATGCGCAGGAGGAATGAATAAATATGCTACAGGTTTATCTCTTTTTCTGGCTATTTATTATTATCTCATTATTTTATTTTTGTTGATGTGTTTGTGTGTCTCTATTTTTAATTTAGGATTTTAATGCGGACATTTAAAGAATGAGAAAAATGCTTTTATACCAATAGGTTTTTTTTGTGTTGCAAGAGGATTTAGCAGGACAATGTGATTGTTATATGGTTTTGGTGGATACCATAGTTGCAACTTGGCCAAGCGTTACTTCTGAGCAACTCTCTGACTGGTAATTTTTCTTTTCCCACTGAAGCAAATATGTATTTTTTTATATACAACTTTGGCAATCCTTATAATTAGCCTAGCTAACTGATCATTTGTTTATTTTTATCCAATGTGAGGTGCATAAAACGTGCATCAATTCCCATTATTATCCTTGCCTTAGGAACTATTTAAATGTCAATCCTAGACGCAGTATGTATGTATCATTGGATTGGTTGATTACAAAATTATAACCAATATCTTGGTTTCTAGTTTGTAAGAAAGCTGCTTTATTTGCAGTATGGGTTAAAATTTGAACAATTACTTCAAATGTGCTCTTGGTACACATGTTTGATTTTATATTTTTTTTTTATATAGTTCATATAAGATGAAAAATCTTTGTTGAAAATGAGACTAGTGTGAGTTAAATGTCGATGACCAGACTATATCAAATAGTATGATGTCATATAGTTAAAAAATTACTGTGCTTCCAGTGGGATTCATGTGAAGAGAACAACCCGTTGAGTTGAAAGAATGAATAGAATTTTAAAGGGAAGAGCTATAAGTATAAGACTAAATTCATAACATCTAAAATATTTGGGTTGATGCTGCAAATATGTCACCACGCCTCATCAATTAAGAACCATCTATGGCAGTTGATTTTGGGCTTTCTGAAGAAGCCTTGAACTGAAAGAAGTTGTCTCCCACATTTGAAAGTTATTTATTTATTTTTTCTTATGTGCTCATAGATTATGATGACAAAGACAAGCTTGATCCAAAATCTAAAATGTCTTTATTGGTTATAGTACTGATAACTCTGACTATAGACTTTGGGATGTTGAAAACAAGAAAAGAATTAGAAGCGATAATCTTGTTTCTAAAGAAATTGAAATGTACAAAAATAGGTTAAGATTGAAAGGAAACTTTAACTACTTGGTATGGCTGAATTAGAAGAGCCAATTAATTTTAATAAAAGACAAGAGACATTAGAAAATAATTAAAAGCCTCAACCCAGCATTAATGTGACAGAAGTCAGGAGATCATAAAGAATTCCAAAAGTTTTTTTAAGAATTATTTATTCTGCTCTATATTCTTTGCTATTTATTGATGCAAGTGAACATAAATGCTATGAAAAAATTGCACACATTAATGACTCGTTTCAGTGGAAGCTAGTAATGAAAAAAAAAAGATTCTCGATATAAGAATAATACCTAGTGAAGTAGTAATACAAACTAATCACTTATTAAAGTTTAAAAGGGTTGATTTCAATCTACAAGGATATATTAATATGAATCTAAGGGGAGACCTAGATACACAAAGAAGTATTATTAGGTACATCTACTGTGGTGATACCAACATTACCTGATTGTCATAGTTATGGAAGATAGTTGTATTATTTATAATAGAAATTGAATATGTATCTGTCATCAAAGACAAGTAAGAGATGGTTTGGCTAAGAAGCTCTCTAGAACATAACCAGTAAAGAATGTTGTCATTCTGTCTCAAACAAACCACATACAATTCAAGTGTCACTTAATACACAACTTACTTGAAGTGATATTTCTACAACTTGTCAAAATCAAATGAGCAAAAAAATGTCGTCAATAGGCTCACAAAAGTGGTATCCATTGAAAAGTCGAGGCTTTGCAAATCCATAAATGATAATATAGAGGTGTCATATAGAAAAGTGTCCAAACATCAACCACCACATAATACCTAACAAATGTTTTGGCTAAGTGGGAGATTATTTAAATGCGAAGGTAATTTTTTTTTATGTAATTCATAAGTTTTCTATCTGCTACCCCTCTACCTATCTCCTATAAATTTATTGTATTCAATCATTTATCTATAAGACTATAACATCTATAATATGAAATCTGCTATCATCTACCAAATAAATTCAAGCTTATTATCTATCATCTTTAAGCACAACATACTGAGATGGTTCCATTATGTTAAAGTATCCCATAAGGACAAGCTAATAGGAAGAAGAGGAATAGAGAGGGAAAACTCGGTCAAAATGGATATCTTTATCTTATCTTCGTATATATGAAAAGAAATACTTGATGTTCTCTCTAAAAGTTTATTGGAATATTTGATTTTTATGTGGCTGTAGACGTATGTGAATATTATCAAATCACGTAAACTTGTTCTCCTTGTGATTGTATTTTTTGGTTTCTTCATTCATCTTCATTTGATTTTGCTTGAAATTTTATCACTATCCTTCTTGATGTTTTAAATTTAGCATGAGTTGTGGGCTCTACGCCTCACTGATTTAATCGGACTTTTCGCCATTTTGTTGCAGCCAACTGCTTCATGCACGGAGTTTATAAAGATTGATGTGGTCGATCAAAGGCGATACCGGAATTAGATATGCACGCCATCTTTCTAGTCTGCTCAGCTCTGCAGGCAATGTTGCCATGACTTTTATTTTTTTCCCAACTAACCATTTTTCCTTGGCTTTTGTACAGAATAACAGAAATTTATTAGTTAGCATAGTCACTTGCGCATACTTGTAACAAGCTAGATCTGCTTATGTACATTTCCAGGTTCTGGACTTGATTAAGTTTTTTTTTCTTAAAGAACTTGAGCCACTGACCTCCTTATTAGAGGAGAAAGGCAAACTTCATCTTATCGCTTAATCAGTGGTGACTATATTAAAATTATGTAACAAAACGTTAGGAACTGCTGCTCTGTGCATTTTAGTAATTGGAGGAAAGAGCATTCAGGTCTTTATCTTTCTTCTATATATCTAATTCACGATTGCAGGATAAAACCCAAAGAAAATTGGTGATACGATTCCTTTGTATTATTATTATGTTTTTTTTTATTTTCAAATAAATATTCATTTGTATTGTAATTATAATTCATGATCGCAGTAGAAAATCCAATGACAATTGATGCTACGATTCCTTTCTATTATGTTTTATTTTGTAATTTCAAATAAACATTCATTTATATTATAATTATACGGATTTTTTAATTGAGTGTTACAGCCATATATTCCTTTAGATGCTTTTACCACTGCTATTGCTTCAGCGGCCCCTTTCGATTCACAATTATGCTGGCTTACATTGTAAACCTCATTTTAATAGCATAAAATTTTGCCTTCTTGTATGTTTTGATTGATTATTTATATATTTTACTTGTTCAATTTGATTTAAATTCAATAATTTTCAGATTGATCGTTTTTTATTTGTAATCTAGTAATCATTCGTCATGGTGGATCGGGTTAGATTGTTTTATTTGGTATAGTTTTCTTATTGTTTTTAAAGTAATTTTTTAACACAATTTAAGTTCAAAATTTTTTGTATTAAAAGTTATTATAAAAAGTAGCAAAAAAGTTGTCACAAATGAAGACCATTTTTCATTGTGATAAAGTCCAAAGATGGTGGCGGCCGTTAGCTGACTGTAGTGGTGGTGGCAAGCAATGTGTGGTTGTGATGGCAGTGTTGGTGGTGGGCAATGATAGTGGATGATTGTGATGGTCTGCAGCAGTCGTGATGGTCGATGGAGGCAATGGTGGTGATAGTGGTGGTAGAGCAAGCTTATTTATGGTAAATGGTTCTCATTCAAAATTGTGTGTTTAATTTACTTCAAAAATAAGTTAAAATAGTTTACATCATATTTATTTTGCTTTGCATTATTCCGTCCAACCAAACACAAATATATTTAAAACCCCATTTGCACTATTTGACACTCATTTTACTTTCAAACAAACAATGCCTAAGCCTAATGGTAATTAGGGTGGCATCAACTAGTCTCATCCTGAGCATGGTTGTAGAACAATTATTACGTCCTCCGATCGGATGCAGAGGAACATCCGCTCGTAGGCAAAATTCCGCCTATACTGAGGTGTACCGAGTTTTTTCAATTGTCTGCGACCGGATGTTCCTCTGCATCCTTACACCGAACCAAATAAAAGTTCTTGTAATTGAGGCTTCTCATGGTTCAATTGGCGAGATGCTTCGGTGTTATCTTCTCCAAGGATTATAGGTATTACTCCATTTATATAAATGGCTCGAGTCGAAATTGGGTTGTTCCCTTAGCCCTCAATGAGTGATTAAGAGACTAAGGTTTTATTTGGGATGGTTTTTTTGCTACTTTTTAAAATATCTTTTTAGTGCAAATATTTCTAATTCTTGAAATTTTTGTACTAAAAAGTTGTTTTGAAAAGCAACAAAAAATCTGTTCCAAATGAATTTTAAGGTTTTATTTGGGATTACTTTCTTACTATTTCTTAAAAAAGTTTTTCAAACAAAGCTTAAATTTTCTATCTCAAAAGGAATTACAATTCTTAAATAAACAAAATATAATAGAGGTCAAGAGCATGCATGTTCTCACAGCTGATGAAAATGAAAGAGATTTAAATCATCATAATAATAAAAAAAAAACATCACAAAATGTTTTTTTTTAATAATAGTATGATTACAAATATGTACAAGATTGTGTGTATTAATTGGTTAATTATCTCCACATTTATCTATTTCTATAAAAATGAGCCGCACCGTTCGCTCATCTTTCCATCATTAGAAATCTACGGAGTTATACAAAGGCTCGTAATTAAATTAAAAAAAAAAACTAATTACTTCTCATAAATGATTTTAGATATTACTAAGATTTTTTTGGAATAATTTTTTTTTTACTTTTTTCGTAGTATGAAAGCAGTTTGTGAAAAATAATATTTGTTTAGGGTTTATTTTTCAAACTTTTGTCTTTAAAAAGCTATTTTTAAAATTATGTTAGGTTTTGTTTGGAATATTTTTTTTTACTATTTTTTAAAGCAGTTTTTTAAGTACCAAAATTTTTAATTTAAAAAATTTTCTAAAAAACTATTTTCGAAAGCAGCAAGAAAGCTATTTCAAATAAAAAAGATTAATTTAATGAAAATGATTAAACTGGAATTAGCTGTGGAGCACATTTTAAAGGTTTATAATTTCTTTCACTTCAAATAGATCTGTATTCTGCTATTAATTTAAACAGATTGATAATTAAGTAACATATCTTTATTACCTGTCATTCACTCATTTGCTTAATTAAAGCAAAATGGAAACTTCATTTACTAATTCAATGAAAAATGGAAAGGGATAAATATTTATACTTTTTATCCCTTTATTTTATAGCTTTAGGTTGATTTTATTATAGCATTATGCATTAAGTGCATGTATATACTACCCAATATACATTATTAGGTGATGTGTCTGGACGCATTTGGAGGTCAATTCGGACGTGCAAAATCACCCAATGCACAGTGCATTGGATGACGTGGCACGTCCGAATTGATCTACGGACGCGTTCAGACACTGCACTTGAATAATCTCTCTTAAGGGAGTAACCGAGTTGAGTTGAGTTAAGTATACGTCTTATCGTGCTAAACTTGTTTAATTCTTATTGAGCTCGAATACGGTTTGTTCAAAAATTATTAGACTCGAGCTCATTAGGAAAGCTCAAAATTGACTCGAGAAATAAATAAAAAAGTATTAGAACAAATTTTATTATTTTTAAAAATTAATTTTGAAATATATTTTAATTTAAATGGGCGGATCAACAAACTTACAAGCGATGCCTAGCTAAGCTCTAGCTCAAGCTTATATAAATATATGAGCTCAAGTACAGGCTTGAGCTTGAACTCGTGACTTAATAAACTTGACTCATGAGCTTGTTAACGAATAGAGTTCGAGTTAGCTTGCAAACCAAGTCGGCTCAATTAGTCCCTTAGTTGCATGTGATGTAAAGAGTATGTAAGACTTTATCTAGAGAGATTTTCTCACAATTAATATTTCAAAAATAATTTTAATTTATATAAAAAATATAATTGAAATTTTCTCATATTTCAGATGCACCATTTGTAGTAATGATAGGCTTGAGTTCGACTCGTTAACGAGCTCACGAGTCAAGCTTAATGGGCCACGAGTTCAAGCACAAGCTCGCTAGACTCGTAAACTCTTTGAGATAAACTTAAAATATATTTAAAACTATTTTAAATTAGCATTATATAATATATTTTATTCTTATCAAATTAATTCTATGTTAAAAAATAAAAAAAAATTACTTTAAAACATAGTAATCGAGATCAACAACCACGTCAAGCTCCAGCTTTCCAAATGAGCTCGAGCCTATAATTTTTTTAACGAGTCGAGCTTGAGCTCAGTAAAAATAAAACCAACTCAACTCGATTAAGCAAATACTCGACTTGCTTACACACCAACTTAAACTCTTACATGCTAGTGCTACTATGTAATACTATTTTACATTGAGAAGACTAACAAGTTTACGAGTTGAGTTATAGCTGGCACGAATTTGACCTGTTAACTCATAAAATTCGACTCAAAATTTATTTATCAAGCCAATTTCAAACCAGCTCATAAATTAAGTTGACTTAGTCTAGTTCAGGGACTAAGTTCACATGCTCCTACAACTTCAACTTTTACTTCATACATTTCTGTACCCTGCAATTGACCAAACAAATATAGAGACAAAAAAGATGATCTGGCTTTATTCTCTGTCATTTAATTATTATAAGAGAAATAAAAAAAGAATAAATATTTTGTGCGTGCACATATTTCTCTATTTTTATAAATAGTGTCTCATTCATCTCTTCTCTGTTTTGGGGGGATTGGGTTTGGGGAGAGATTATTACATGCGGAGTCTGAATCGAAGAACCGTTCAATTTTTATGAGTGTGTGCAGTAAAAACATACTAAAAGAATAGTTACTGTTCATCACTATAATTTTATTGTGCTTTTACTGCAAACACTTAGAAAAATTGGACACTCGGACTCCACACTTAATAATCGCTCGTGTCCATACACGAGCAAATGAACGTTTCCAAAGTTATAACTATTTTTTTTTTTTAATATTTAAATAAATTCAGATAAATTTATATATACATCACATATATAATATTCAAATTCAAAATATTTTAATTAATAGTCGAAGCTCCTAATTAACAGGTTGAAATGAGCTGCGTAAAAGTTATAATTTCATCCAACAGGCATTTCTGTATCCAGCGATTAATTTAATAAAAATAACAAAAAGAATTCATATAGCTGTAATATTCCCTGTCATTTGGAAAAGCTTTAAGACAATGATGTGTCCTTTAAGAGTATCAAGATTAGATTTGCTCGCTGTAATCACATTGATTGATGTTACTGTTTAATTATTGCCATAAGCTGATGATCTATCATAAGTTTTATTAAGATTTTAGGTCTTATGGGCTTACAAAATTACCCCTCTTGCACAAATTTATTTATTTATTTATTTTTTTTTTTTACGGGAAAAATTTGCATAGGAACCTACGCGTTAATTAAATAGAGAATTACAGGTTCTTAAAGAACCAACTTCTCTCTAAAAATACAAGTTTCAAAATTAATTAATATCTATACTATTAAATGTTCATTAATTAGCCCTAGTTTATCCTAGCACACTTATTTAAATCTTAAGTTTCCATTAAATTCATTAAATTTAGCACATGATTTTATATATTAACTATTAATTGATTACTTCAATTAATTAATTTATATATATAATGAAATAAAATATATTCAATATCTTAAATGTAGGTTAATTTTATTTTAATTGAATATTAAATAAATTAATTTATGTGGTGATAATAATGGCCATCGATAGGGCAATGAAGACATGCGGCAAAACAATAACGTTAGATGTTGTCGTTGAAGACATGGTAGTTGACGGATAGTGATTTTTATGTTTAAAATATAAAAAATATTTTAATT